GGGAGGGTGGTAGGGAGGAAGGGGGAGAAAATTTTAAACTCAAAAGCGTATGGAAGTGATTATTGATAAATCAAAATAAATTAATAAAATTAAAAAAAAAACTTGTTGTAAAAATTTTCCCCCAGTTTTCTGCTTTCCTTCTAATCTTGGCTGTATTGGTTTTGTTTGTGCAAAATTTGAAAATTTAATGTATTCAAACTTATCCACTTTACAGCCTATCTCTTGTTTGGTTATAATTTCTTTATCCATAGATCTAACAGGATTGTTTAAGAAGCAAATAATTGGGGCAGCTAGATGGCTCAGTGTATAGAGCAACGGCCCTGGATTCAGTAGGACCTGAGTTCAAATCTGGCCTCAGACCAAACACTTCATATTTAGTAGCTGTGTGACCCTGGGCAAGTCACTTAACCCCAATTGCCAAAAAAAAAAAACCAACAAAAAACTCCCAAGAAACAAATAATCTCATCAGTTCTGGTTTTCTTTCTAAAAATATTTCCAACTCTTCTTTTCTATTGAATGTCCATCTTTTGTCCTGTACAGTTAAGCTCAGATTTACAGAACAGGTCACCCTGGGCTACAGTCTGAACTTCGTTTCTCTTTGGAACGCATTATTCCATTCTTTCCTTTTTCTAGTGGGTATAGAATGGTCTTTGATTATTTAAATATCCTTTCCTTTGTATTGAAGGTCTTTCTCCTCATGGCTTGCAAAATTTGTTTCTGAGTTGAATTGTTAAATTTTACCAATATGTGTCTTGGAGTTCACAGGCTTGAGGTTTTTTTTTTCCTTTTGGAGGCAATCTTTGAATTCTTTCAATTGGAATTTCATTTTTTAAGTTCAGATGTTCTGGGCAGTTCTCTTCCATTATTTCCTTCATTATGGTGTTAAGGTTTTTTGCCCGTCATATTCTTCTGGGAGACCTATAGGTCTCCATTCCTTAGGTTGTCTATTTGAGATCAACATGTTTTACATGCATACTGAACGTATTTTATTTTAATGTCCTTCTGTGTATTTATATTCTGCACCTGTTGCCATTTGTTTTGTCGACCTGAAAGTTTGGTTAAAGAGACAGCAAGCTAGGTGATAAGTAAATTCATATTGTTTATTCCTCTTAAGCTAATGAATCATATATATGTAGGAGCCAGAATGTGATTCTGACTCAGAGATTAAGTAGAATGGGAAACGTTTTTATATAGTTTAGCATGATCAGACTCAGGATGTCTGTGTCACTAAAAAAAAAAATATAGCCTCCATATGTTTTTTTAACATATAGCATGGGAAAGTAAGTTTCTTAGTTGAATAGGTTGTAAACACAAAAAACAGGAGAATTTCAAAGTGTCATTTGAAATTACAGATCCGGGATATCTGTGTTTCCCCTACGTAACATATGCCTATAGGATACAAAGAAGAGTCTCACTATTCAAGAGGGTGTCTGGTTCCAGGTATCCTGTCCTTGGTGATCACAGACAGGAAGAATGCTGGTCAGTTTCATCTGGTCCTGTAGTTGCTGACACAGGAAGAGACATTTTTAGTTCACTCAGAAAAGATTAATTCTGGTATTTGGCCCTTATTGGGGCTCAATTGATCTTAAATCATTATCATTTCCTCCTTTTGGTCAAAGATAAGCTGAAGGCATCACCTGTAGACCAAGGAAGGTATGGGAAAAAACTTCCTCTTCCTCAGGGGGTGGGAAGAGATGTCTACTTGGAATGATTCTTCAGATGAGTCCACATACAGAAGTTGGCACCTATGGGAGTAGTCACATAGACTTGATAGGGGCTCTTAGAACACATATGAGTTGATATTTGAGAGAAAACAGCATAACATAAGTCCTTAGTTAAAGGTACATAGAGATGGTTCAGTTTTCCCAGGCATGCAGAGCTAAGGTTCAGACAATACAACAAAGTTTTTCTCATAATTCACAAAATTGCATAGTTACATCAAGTCAGGTACAGATTAAACTACTTAGAAGGCTCATAATAGACTAGTTTTGAGAAGGGAGATTCACATGTCACCAAGATAACCAAGAAAACTTTAAACATGAACCATACAAATCAATACAATCATTATTACCAATGTTAACTAACATTAAATTCCTTGCTCATGTATTATAGGTTTTATTCTTAGGCAGTTCAAAAAGCGAGTTCTGTTTCTCTGGTTTAGATCTAGAAGTTCCCAGATAATTCTGATTTAGTATAAATTAGAACAGTCATTAAAATTTGGTTCTCCATTTTTGCTATCATTTGCTGCTTCTGTCCTTACCTAAATCCTGTACCTGGTATAAGAATCTTTTGAAATGTGAAGGTCCGACCAAAAAAAAGCTCTCCTGCCTTTTAAAATTACCAGACAGATACTTTAATAAAGGAGAAATAATTTCACTTACTTTTACCACTAACTTTCACACTTTTGGTGTGAAAAACCAAATTTGATATCTTATTACCAAAACATGCTTAAAGCTTGGATTTCCATGATAGATACATTTTGGAAGCCAATTATATACATCTGTGTATAATTCTTAGAAGAATCAGTCTAATCTTGTTGCTTTTCTCAAAATTTGCTATCCTACTTAGACATCTATCACATTACATCTTTGTCGTATTACTTTGTCTAAACATTTCCTCCTTAGGAGGATGCTATCCCTATATTATTATTTGGCCGTGAATGTAAGTTACAATTGCAAACTATTCGTACTTTCATACTATTATAGTAACTCAGAGATGTTCCAGTATCCATCTATTATTTAATAAATTTAGTACTGTGCTTACAGAGCTTCTTGATCATAGAAATTTTCTATAAAAGAAAAAGAGCAACAATGTCATATTGTATCACAAGGAAAGAACTTCCTTAGCTCTGTTTGGTTCCAAGCATGAGTCATATCTGATAGCCAATCATGTAGTCACTGGATGTTAAAAGCAGGGCTCAGGACTAATCAGGTGGGGAATTTTCCTTTTCAGAAAGGAAACAGCACAATTGGGAAATAGGGTCAGGAAGATCCTACAGAGGCTATGTCCAAGGTCGTCCTCAAAACTGTTCCCAGGCACAGATATCCACCTTTATCAGTTCTCAGCCTGCAGCACATGCCATTCTACATTTGGTTTCATGACAACTCAGACAATTATCTCAGTAATCAAAACTCAAAACAATAAAATCACGTATCCTAGATAATAAGAATTTAATCTCACATTGCTAACAGTAAGAGATTGATCACAGAAAAATACTGCTGCTCTTATAACTCCTTTAAACAATGGGAACATCTTAAGGTGAATCTTAAGCAGTTTGTATGAATCTCTGAACATATTCTAATTCCAGATTAAAAATAATGTTAGATTTTCCATTAAGTTAATGCAAAAGAGCTCATAAATTACTACTCTTCACTAGCATAACTGTCTGTACTGGAATTCCATTCCTTAAACAAAACAAAGAGGTTCCTAACTTTAACCTCACAAGTTGATAGATTTATGTCCTTCTTCACAGGCTTGTTTATTCTTCTTTAATTATGTTCACTTTGGAAGAATGTGACACTTCAGGATTTGAACCTTCTATGTATAAATTCAAACACCAATTTAACTATTGCTTAGGCCATGCAATGACTATAGATTCAGATAAAAAAACCAGCAAGATCTATTCTGCTTTACAGCTCATTACAATAATTTAGCAATAAATTAGGCCTTCAAAAAATCAAACAAGACATTGCTTCTAAAAGTATTTCCCTTTTTAAAAAACAGTTTAAAATTTATCCTGATGTTAAGAAGCATAATTACTTTTATGAAGAACACTAGTTGGAAACTTTTAAAAAGATAGATATCTCTCTTTTCCACCTTAAAGTAAAAATGAATCTTTAAAATGGGAATTCATTAAAAGTAAGTTGGTGTAAGATGTCCTTAAGTAACATAAATAAATTTCTAAAGTACTATAACAAACTAAATTCCTAGTTATTACAGAATTCCTAGATATCACCAAATTCCTTAGTCAAAAAGGTGTTTGTAATGGAGAAGAAATTCAGTTTTTATAATGCATGAAGAACATACCCAATTAAATTAGCCTTATCACAATAACAAATATTATTAAGCCTTTAAAAATTTGCTCAGTATTTTTTTCTCCTTTGTCTTTAAACGTATCTCTAGAAATTAGGAAAACTTTTATATTCTGGAATCTCACATAGGTAGTGAATGTGGTAGCAAATTAGCATATCTCAAGGATTCTCATTTACTCAGGAATTCCACAACACAGGAAACTTTTGCACAGAGTCGATAAGAATTTTAGGTGAAACTTCCTCTTAAATGTAGACAAAATTTGAAAGTTTTTTCTAACCCATTCCTTCTCCCCTATTTTTTGGGAGGCGGGGTACAATTCTTGGTTTAACATCTCTAGATCATAAGAGAAATTGCTTTTTCAACAACATAGCTGATACAGTTTGTTTACCAGATTACACCATATAAAAAATTCAGAAATATAACCATACCATAAGCAATTATTATATACTTAAAAGTTGAAACAGAACCAATTAATTACCTGCTTATAACCAAATATACCTCATTAAATATTAACAGTTTTAAAATTATCAAAATTTTATCACATCCTTTTAAAAGACTAATCCATATGCACCATTTCTACCTCACAATAGTCTCTCAAATTTTACAATCCATGAGAGTTTTAGAAATACAATTTAGAAACACAGTAATAACACAAACAATAAACTTCATCAGTCGCATTTCCAGATTATCACATATAGAAATTATTGATCTTATTACTTTTGGTATTTAAAAAACCACTTCAAAGCTATCAGGTTTGGAACAATTACATTAAATTAGAGAGATAATAATAATAACATTGTCTAACATGTGCCAGTATTGTTTTAAGCACTTTACAGTCATTATATCATTTTGATCCCATAACAACCACCATTATTATTTTTCCCTTTACAAATCAGGAAACAGGGCAAACAGAGATAAAATAATTTGCCATAAATTCCAAAACTGGAACAGAAAGGTATGAGGCTTACCAAGAGTAGAAGTTGGCTTCTCACCTCATAGTACTATTGCCAGGTCTTCTAGGGGTTTGGGTGGCTGATGCCAGGGCCTTCCCAGTGGTGATAATACTTGGTGGCAGAGCTTAAGGAATCCCACCATAGTTCTGACCTGTCCACTTCTCCCCCTCCCCACAGCTGCAGAATTTACTGAGGCTGGTGCCATTTGCAGCTGCTGCTGGGGCAGGGTGAGCAGAATGTGTTGAACCTGGATAATACTGCCAGGCCTTGCAGAGAGGGCTGGCCTGCAAGGTGCCCAGGGGCACAGGGCTGATAGCAGACTATTACTGCTAGTCTGTGATAGCTGCCTCTCCTCTCCTTTTGTCAGATGGGGAAGGCTGATCTAAGTTTCCCCTATAATTCTTCAGCATTCTCTTCTTTTACAATCCCCATACTAAGATACTTATCTCTGAGGAGGGAGAAGGGAATGCTGAGGAATCAGGATTGGGAAGAGGTGTTTTAGCAAAGGGTGAGTTCCTGGAATGACCAGTCTCAGAAGTTTTCTCCAACAATCTCAAAATGATCAATTTCTAAACTTCTTAATGATTAATGTCAAAACCTCCAGAATAGCTGTGTCTAACTTTTCACTCTAAGTCTAGTATGGCCAGGCCTGGACCCCCAAGGACAGGAGTTTTACAGGTTTGTTGTTTTCCTAGCTGAGGCCCTTAGAAGTCTCTGGCTACCTGCATTTTATATATTACAAGGGATAGACTTTTTTTTTTTTTAGGCAATTGGGGTTAAGAGACTTACCCAGGGTCACACAGCTAGTTAAGTGTCAAGTGTTTGGTCTGAGGCCAGATTTGAACTCAGGCCCTCCTGACTTCAGGGCCGATGCTCTACCCACTGCTCCACCTACATGCCTCTTCCATGGCTAAACTCTTTGAGAAAACCATTTACAAATGATGTCTCCATTTGCTTTCTTCTCACTCTCTTCTTAACTCTTTGCAGTTTGGCTACTGACTTCATAATTCAATTGAAACTTTTCTCAATCTAATGGTCTTTCCTCAGTTCTCATCCTTGACCTCTCTTCAGCCTTGGAAATTGTTAATCACCCTCTTCTTGGGATACAGACATAGTACTAGTATTGCTTGGTCAAAGAATATGCATGGTTTTATAGGTGTTTGAGTATAGTTCCAAACTGCTCTATAGAATGGCTAAATCAGTTGACAGCTTCACCAACAGTATGTTAGTGTCTCAATTTTCCCAAATCTCTTCCAGCATTTGTTACTTTTCTTTTCTGTCATATTAGCCAATCTATTAGATGTGGAGTGGTACCTCAGCATTGTTTTAATTTGCATTTCTCAGATCAATAGTGATTTAGAGGATTTTTTCATATGACTATAGGTATCTTTGATTATTTTGTCTGAAAACTGCCTGTTCATATCCTTTGACCATTTATCAAATGAAGAATGTCTCTTATTTTTATAAATTTGATTCAGTTCTCTATATATTTGAGAAATGAGGACTTTATCAGGGAAACTTGCTGTAATTTTTTTACAATTATGATTACTGTGTATTTCCCTCCATCCTATTTTCCCTAATGTTTATCCTTCTCTCTCTCTCCTTTCACCCTGTCCATCCTCAAAAGTGTTTTGCTTCTGACTACAGCCTCCCCCAATCCACCCTCCCTTCTATTATCTCCTCCCCACATTTTATCTCCTTACCCTCCTACTTTCCTGTAGAGTTAGATACATTTCTACACCCAACTGTGTGTGTATGTTATTCTCTCGTTGAGCCAATTCTACTGATAGTAAGGTTCACATGCTCCCACCTACCTCTTCCCTTGTCCCTTCCTCTCTTTTGTGCCTCTTTTATGTGCAATATTGTACCCCATTCTATCTTTACCCTCTTCCCAGTGCATTCCTCTGACTCCTTAATTTTATTTATTTTTTAGATAATCATCCCATCATATTTGTCATACCTGTGCCCTCTATTTATATATATATTTCTTCCATCTACCCTAATAATAAGAAAGGTCTTAGGAGTTACAAGTGTCATCTTCCCATGTAGGAATGTAAATAGTTTAACCTTATTGAATCCCTTATGATTTCTCTTTCCTGTTTATCTTTTAATGTTTTGTTTGACTCTTGTATTTGAAAGTCAAATTTTCTGTTTAGCTCTGGTCTTTTCATCAGGAATTCTTGAAAAGTCCTCTATTTCATTGAATATCCATTTTTTCCCCTGAAGGATTATACTCAGTTTTGCTGGGTAGGTGATTCTTGGTTGTAGTCCTAGCTCTTTTATCCCCTGGAATATCATATTCCAAGCCCCATGATCCCTTATTGTAGAAGCTGCTAACTCTTGTATTACCTTGACTGTGGCTCCACAATATTTGAATTGTTTCTTGCTGGCTATTTACAACCTCTTCTCCTTGACCTGGGAGCTCTGGAATTTGGCTATAATATTCCTAGGAGTTTTCATTTTGGGATCTCTTTCAGGAGGTGATCAGTGGAATCTTTCAATTTCTGTTTTGCTTCCTGGTTCTAGGATATCAGGGCAGTTTTCCTTGATAACTTCTTGAAAGATGATGTCGAGGCTCTTCTTTGATCATGGCTTTCAGATAGTCTAACATTGCTTAAATTATCTCATTGGAAAAAATGAGATATTTCACGTTTTATGCTATTTTTTCATTCTTTTGATTTTGTTTGATTGTATCTTGATATCTCATGGAGTCATTAGCTTCCACTTGCTCAATTCTAATTTTAAAGAGTTATTTTCTTCAGTGAGCTTTTTATTTCCTTTTCCATTTGGTCAATTTTGGTTTTTCAAGGAATTCTTCTCTTCAGTGAATTTTTTTGTGCCTATTTTACCATTTGGCTTATTCTCCTTTTTAAGGTGTTATTTTCTTCAGTATTTTTTTTGTGTGTGCCTTCTTTAGCAAGCTGTTGACTCTTTTTTCTTGATTTTCTTGTATTATTCTCATTTCTTTCCCCAATTATTTCTCTATATCTTTTATTTGATTTTTTTTTGTTTTTTGTTTTTTGTTTGTTTTTTGATGGGGTGATCGGTGTTAAGTGACTTACCCAAGGTCACACAGATAGTAAGTGTTAAGTGTCTGAGGGTGGATTTGAACTCATGTCCTTCTGACTCCAAGGCCAGAGTTCTATTCACTGCGGCACCTAGCTGCTCCATTTTTATTTGATTTTTAAAATCCTTTTTGAGGTCTTCTAACAATTGTTTTTGGGCCTGAGAACAATTCACGTTTTTCTTTGAGGCCTTGGATATAGCAATTTTGACTTTGTTGCCTTTTTCTGAGTTTGTGTTTTGATCTTTCCTGTAACCTTGGTAATTTTCAATGGTCAGGATATATATATATATATATATATATATATATATATATATATACACATATTTTTCCTTCTCATTTTTCCATCCTGTTTCTTGACTTTTATTTAAGTTTGTGTTAAACTTGGGCTCTGCTCCTGGGGTAGAGAGGGCACTGTCCTAAGCTTCAGGTTTTTTATGCAGCTGTTTTCGGAGCTGATTTTGGGGACCTATAAATTTTTGGTTCTTCCAAGGTGGTCTGATCTAAGGAGAAGTTACTACTCTCTTGGCCTGTGCTCTGGCACAAGAACTCTTTTTTGACCTCAAACTATGACCATGGGTCTGCAAGCTCTGGCATGATAGTACTCCTCCTTGCCCTAGGACTATGACCCAGGACTGCAACCTAGGTCCAAATATGGCAATGCAACAGAGTCTTGCCCCTAGTGTTAGAAAATGGACCTTTGTAATCTTCTTCTGACCATTTGCCCAACCACTTTACTATCTGTGGGCTGAGAGCTCTGGAAGCTATCACTATGCTATCACTGATTCAGTTGCCCTCAATGCCTGCTGCTGGTTTGCTACGGTGTGGCCTATGCTAGTACAGCCTGTATGTACCTCACTCTAACCCCAGTGTGATAGACCTTTCCTGCTAACCTTCTAAGTTGTCTTGGGATGGATATTTATTTTACCCTATTCTTCAGTGGGTTCTGCTGTTTCAGAATTTGCTTTGAGGTGTTATTTAAAATTATTTTGAGGGAATTTGGGAGAGTTCACATGAGTCTCTGCCTTTCCTTTTTTTTTTTTGAAATAGTTCAGAGATTTTTATTCTAATAGCTTTAGTTATAGTACTTTCTGTCAAAAAGAAAACTGAAAACAAGTATACAGAACTGTTGATTACTAATTGTGTATTGAAAGCAGTAAGAGTTTCCATAACACCAAACAAACCAGTTCTGAGTTTTTCCTGAGATAAAGTTCAACTGCTCCAGCTTCTTCAATATTTATCAAAATACAAAGGAAAAAAAGTGATCTTTTTTTTTTTATCAGATGGCAAATCTGACTTGTAGTAATAAGGGGTAATAAGGGACATTTCACACACATAGAGATGGGGGATTATTCCAAAACAGTACCAAATGCTTCTAGAATGGAATGACTCTCCAAGCTGTCATGCTCAGTTTATTTTCTTTCAAAACATAAACACCATAGAGAAATGCCATTTTTGAAATATCTTCAGCCACGATTTGGGGTTTAACTAGGCTGTGCTTACTGTGGAGAAATTTCAAACAGAAGTACCACACACTTGACCAAAATTAAAAGGCTAGTGTTTTTTGTTGTCCAAATATAGAGAGCTCTTCTCAATGTTTCTAACCAGCCATCATTGTGTTCTTCCTAAGAGTTATTCAAGTATGATGGAGAACTAATCACAGCCTGACCTGAACTGCAGGAGGGAAAAGTCAAGTTATAAATGGTTTATGATTGAAGATCTAATGTTCTCAATGTGTAGCTTGCTCTGAACTACAACCTCAAAGCTTTTTTTCATAAGTATCCATGTGAGCACAAATACAAGCATAAACTCTATGAAATACATAAAGATCCAAAGACTCAGCATTATATGGATCTCTATTTTAACCATACGAAATTGATCATTTTTATCATCACTTCTTAAGCTTCAAAAGAGAAACCATTAACAATATAGTGATCTGGTATTCAAGTTGTTACTGCAAAACCTACACTAAGCATATTTCTCTGCTCTGTGTGTTCAAGTGTTTTACTTGTCTTTTAAAACTTTTTTTTCCCCTATTTAAAAAAATACACTAAGTTCAGGTTAAAAACTAACCACTAAAATGAGTCTCAACACAGATCTCAAAAACCAGTAGGAGTAGCATTCAGCTCTGCTTAAAATCCCTTCCCAGTACTAAATG